CCGGAACATACACGGGTTGTGTGTGAACGCGCTCTCTGATTCCGGCAAATCACTGGCAGTGTGAATGAAGCAAAATCAAACGAACCCGAGTCAAATCCCGGGTCGCTTTATCCGTGTATTTTCCGGAATCTCTGTGTGAAAGGGGCTAGAGACACGTAGAGTACTGTATTTGAGAAATGTATACATATAAAAATCACACCGTTAACTAACAATGTGTTAATGCCAACATGACTTAAGGGGAACCTGTATTTTTAAAAAGAACCAAGTGAGGACCAATGCAAAATACCATTGTATTTCAGTTAAAGGTGTAAATTTATGGAATAACTGTCATGAGGAACTAAAAATATGTGGGACACTTAGTAAGTTAAAGAAACTATTTAAAAATTATGCAATGAAACAATTTAAAGAGTGATAAATGAATAAGCTGTTTTTGTTGTATTCTAGATTGTGAAATTGAATTGCATAGGAAATACTTAGGTTTTGTATTCTCTTTAGATTTGTTTGTCAACATTATATGTAAGACAATTCTTATTTTTATTTTATTTGTTTAAAATGTGAGATGTTTTTAGGCATTATAAAAAGGGTAGGCATTATAAGCAAGAGCTTCAGCCTACACCTGTTTCAGACAGAAGTAAATATGCTGTTGTTTGTCAGCTGAACTGTGTTGAAACTAAGTTGTCTGTCTGAAATAAACCAAACTGGAGCTGACGTACTCTCTAGTTACCTCGGGACGGGCATCCCGAGATAAAACAGAAAAGCAAATGGAGAGTAATTAGTGTAGCTGCTGTTCATAACATTAAGCAAATATAACCATGTGCATTTGATCTGATCTAACTGATCTAAATGTTATGAGATGTATTATGCGAATGCTTGGCTGAAGAGATGTGTCTTTAGATTTAATCTGGCAGAGTGAGTTTGAGCCCCGAACATTATCAGAAAGATTATCCATCACTGTCTTTCCCACGTCCGTGGGAGTCAAGGTGTGGAGAAGCCCCAAAAAGGCTTGACACCCGGACTGTTGTGTGCCCAGAGTGAAGCACAGGGGGTGAATCGGTGATGTTTTGGGATGCAATTCCTTACTGTGCTTGATGGGCGCGTCACTGCCAAGGACTACCGAACCATTCTGGAGGACCATGTGTACCTAATGGTTCAAACATTGTACCCTGAAGGGGGTGCTGTGTATCAGCAGGATAATGCTCAAAATCCCTCTGGCCACTGTGAAGGACTTGGATGTGTCTTTCTCTAAATAAATTGATGCGGTATTGGTTGCAAAATGAGGTCCTACACCATAATAAGTTATTGTGGTCTAAACAGTACCAAATTAGGGTTCTTCGGCTTGTAACAATAGCAGAACCCTTTTTATAAGGTTCCATAAAGAACCATGCTTTGAAAGTGCTATAGGACATTAATGGTGTTATAAATAACTTTAAATATTAGTATTCACATCTTCATATTATTAAAGGGGTCATATAATGCCATTTTTGTACAAGCTAATATGATTCTTTAGGGTCTAAATTAAAAGTTTGTAATATACTTTAATTAAAAATTCTCATTAGTATTGTAAGAAAACACTTATTTTACCTGGTCAAAAACAGCTCTGTTTTCAGCACGCCGTTTCAGTGCATATGACTTTAAATGATCATGAGCTTTGCTGACTCCGCCTCTCTGTTCTGTGCGTACACCGTTTGTAACACAATAACACAATAACCATAACGCGTTGTTCAGTATAAACGTGGGATTATGAATTATATTGAGAACGTCGTACATAGAAAACATGCCGTAATGTACCCTGAGTGTAAACCTTAGCCGCATTCATTGTGAAGTGTGCAGCTAGCGATTTGCAAAGATATAAATATTAATATAAAGTTTAATAAAACGTTACACTCACTTCAGTTCTTCTGGAGATTCAGCAGGAACACGAATATCTGGTACCGATCCTTTATTCATGGCAGCTTCTTCCTTTATTCGAGCAGCTTCTTAGCAAATCCAGCTTTATACTGATCCTCGTTTATAAAGCAGTCTGGTGTGAAATGATTCGCGCAAACATGACAGCATTGACGTTGCTCGTGGGGAATATTCCCTTCGAAAACAAACTCAGCCACTGCGTCTTCAGCGGTTCGGATTTGGGAACATTAAAATGACTGCTGTGTTCGTTATTACACCCAAGAACAGAACACCACAATCGCTTAGACGCCATTCTGCTCATAGACAGTGCTCCAGCATTTCAACAATGACCGCGCCGGTCCGCGCAGACTATGATTGACAGCTCTCACGAGCGAGGGCGGGTCTGTGTTGAAACGCTGCTGTCAATCAACAATCGTGGGAGGGGCGTCCGTTTTATTGACGTCACAAAAACGAACGGCTCAATTTGAGGCAGGGGAAAACATATAAGGAGATTAAAACAAAAACACTGGATGGATTTTTATCATTATAGGATGGTTGTGTACAGGCACTGCCAACACACATTTCAGTACAATCAACTTGTAAAAGTGCATGTACCATTATATGACCCCTTTAATATTACTATTATTTTTTATAAATTATTTATTAATATTGTTTTTTTAGCCCTCTGTCTGGCTGGTCTTATATCTTGTTGCCTCTATTTGGGTTTTACATAAAAAAAAAAAAAAAAACAGCATGTTGTCAATTAGGAACTTTTATTTTTTATTGACATGGCAGATTGTAGAAAAAATGACACTGCTCTTACAACAGAGGTTAGCTGAATACATTATTAAATAACAATCCATTGAACACGATATAGATGTAATGAAAACCAAATTCCAGTGAAATATCTTCACAATCCCCTATGATGTCTTTACATCCTTCATTATGTGTGTATTCTGAGTAGCAATTTCTCTCTGCTGATGATGAGGTTATGATGTATAACATCATCTGAAATACGCAATTGAGTTTAGAGTTGCATTGTGTCTCTTCCAGTTGATTATGTAAAAACAGTTATGTTCATGAAGGCCAAAATTAGCAAAAATGGACAGTATGAGCCATTACCATGGTAAAAAGAAAAAGTGACAAAGTCATGGTATAGCGTTAATGTTTTTTTGTGACTGGGTATGTTTAGGCATAAAGTCATAATTTAAAAAAAATCAAACAATATGGATCATAAATTCCATATCTCTGTTACTTTGTGGAGAAGAGAAGACGAGACCCTTAACTGAACAGAGCTGCTCACACTTGCATGTCTTTTTCTCTCTTTAGTTTAACAGAACATGATTGTTAGGAAATGATTGTTACAATTTTTAAAGTTACAATTTATAGACATTTTAAGAAAGAAATTTTTAAACTGTTGAGAGTATGTTGACAGTCTGTGAAGTAACTGTAGTTGTATAGCTGAGCTCCTGAAAATCAGTAATGAAGAGGCTTTGACAGTTACAGATTTGTAAAACAAAAAAGCGTGAATAAAGAACCCTAAACTCTAACACAAAGAACCATTTCAGCATATAAAGGGTTCTTCATGACGATACGGTACTGAAATAGAACTGTTACTACATGTAAAGAACCTTTTAAAGAACCATCTTTTTTTTAGAGTGTACCCTTATAGCGTTCAAAAGTTTAACTTCGGTATGAGATTTGATTGTTTTTGAAAGAAGTCTCTTATGCTCACCAAGGCTACATTTATTTAATTAAAAATACAGTAAAAAAGTAATATTATAACTGATATTATAACTTTCTATTTTAATACATTTTAAAATATAATTTATTCCTGTGATGGCAAAGCTGATTTTTTTTTTAGCATTCATTACTCCAGTCATCAGTGTCAAACGATCCTTCAGAAAATTATCAGTTGAAAACATTTGTGATGCTTAAAGCTGCAGTCCGTAGCTTTTTTGTGGTTAAAAATGATCCAAAATACATTTTTGATAAAATACATAACAAGCCAGTGTTCAAAACTATCTGCTTGCTTTAGCTCGATTCAAAGCGGTAAACTTGTATTAATGTTTTTAATTCCAGTGGTACTGGTGGATTTCCGCGGGAAATTTGATCATGTCTTTGAGTCATTACGTCACATCTGTACACATAAAGTAAAAAAGGAGTCTCGGCTAGTAGGCTATATTGCGTGTGAGGATGCTGGAGGTGGAGATTTATAGCCTTTTCTCACAGCACTTGATATAATTAAACTTATCAATTTGATGGCGGATCCAGAAAGGTTCAAACGACAATCACCAGTGACAACAGATTCACCCGCTGTAAAATGCAAAAGACTTCGTTCGGACTTCGGAGTGGCTACAGAAAAAAAGAGACTGCAACCGGACCCATGCGAAAACAAGGATAAATATTGGAAGGACATTACATGTAGTCACGCAATGCTGACGTTGTTAACATTATCATTAATCTGTGATTCTGAATGACGGTATCCACACAGTCTATGATCCACACCGGCACGGTGACTGACAGCTGCACATTCTCCTCAAACATTAGATTCACCCACGCTGTGCCGTGTCGAGGCACAACCCACGTAAAGTTGATAATTCCGCAAATAACTGCAATTGCAGATTTCGAACAGAGATGGCGACAAAGAGGAAAAACTGCGGACTGCAGCTTTAATATTATTGTGGAAACCGTTATGCAGTAGATGGGCACAATTGATATTAAACAAATCAGTCAAATTTGTCCAAATGTTCTGCTGGTAGTAGTTAGAAAATTTTGCTCTGAAGATACTTGTTCCTGAGAGAGGTTTTTATTTTCTTGTCCGCAGAAAGCGCAACAGCACATGTCCAAGTACGTTCACCCACCAGGCCATGTCTCTGACAAAGTCTATTTTTGACCAGTGGCCACAGGGTCTCTACCACTTCTTAATTTATTTCATGTAGTCCTGTTCCATCTTTCAAAACTTTAGTTTTGAGTGATTACAGAGTGAATATTGGTCAGTACAGTGTTGTAAGACCTTTGATGAACTGTTTTGTTCTGATCAATATCGAGAGTCAACATGCAGTTGAAATGGCAGTTGTTGTGTAAGTTAACTTTACTCTATTGTTACCTTACAGCTACTGAGGAAGAAGAACATCAGTCTTTCTCCTTGGCTGACAAAGTGACTCTGTACAAAGGTGACATCACCATCCTGGAGGTTGATGCCGTAGTGAATGCTGGTGAGTTTGCTGATTCTGATCAATTCTCACAGTTTTAGTACATTAGCAAGGCAATTAGTGCACAATTATTGCACTGATTTTTATTTCAAGTTTATTTTAGCGTTTGCTTTAGCTGAATGGTTTGCATAGTCTTTGATGCACTTTGCATTTGTTGTCCTTGCCTGACCTCTAGTGTCTATAAGTGGTACAGGCATGACTACTGTTTTTCTTTTTTTCTTTTTCGTGCTGATGCATTCTACAGGATGGGATGAGAGATTCCTGCTTATGTATATTTATTTCTGTACAGTGTGTTTCTCTCCACAGTGGATTTTCCTGTTTATAACAGTTCTGTATTGATTTGTCGTAAATGTTCTTTCACAGGAATGTTGCGTTTCCTTTTCAGGATGAAACAGGAAACCAAGAAACAAACTTGTAAAAATGACTTTTCCTTTTGTTTGCAGGGTTAGATTGGTATTATCTGTCTCTCTGGCTTGTTAATTGTCTTGTCATATTGCACAAATATACTCACTTTGTGCCCATTATTGCCTCTTTTGTAAAAATCTATCAGTTTGTTCTGAATGGAAAGGAGCATTTTTTTTAGTAGATGTTCTGCAGAAATAGATGCGTGTTAATTGGGTTATGCTGCAGTGAGGGAGCACATGGATGACACTGTCAATGTCATGGTTTACCTTAAATCAAGGAAACCTGGGTAATAGGAAATTTAAGTACTTACAGGACTTGCAGAGTATTTAGTATGTGTTGTGTGGGAGATTGTCATTGATTAGATGTGTTCACTCAAGATGCTTATCTCAGCATCAGTCATTGAGAGGAATAGTTTAACATTCCCGTCACAGAGAGTGATTGGAAATAGTGTTGCGGTTCGTGTCTGAAACCGCTGTCTGTTTGACAAGAGCATCTGTGAAATGTTGTTTTTTTGTTTTGTTTAGCTAGACCATTGAATCTTTAACAAGAAAATGAAATTCTTAACAGCTGTATTATGCTCTGCCTATAACATGTACAAACATGTGTTTGTGAATGATTGAGGTTTTTTGTTTCTCTCAATGTTTAGTTCAGGCAGTATGCAGCCTAATTGAAGTAATGATGCCTGTGAGCTTTGGGATATTTAGACCAATCTAAACCTTCTGTTGAGTTTACTGCTGTTCTGGGTGCAGAGGATCCTTGTACACTAGTAGATTCATTATCACTGGAGCTTGTCTATGAGTTTTGCCTCTCCTTTATGTGTGTATTGATACTCCTATCCTAGGATATTTCTACAGTCTTCATAGTGTGATGTAGGACTACAAGCTGATATAGCTAAATATTAACCTGTTTTTATATAAGCGATACTATTAATTGTATGCTTAATGTGACATATATATATATATATATATATATATATATATATACACACACACACACACACACACACACACACACACACACACACACACTGATTTAGCAAAGTGTCAGATAGTAAATAAAAGAGTGTTACATTATGTTGTGAACATTTGTCAGGAATTTGTGCCTAATTCTATGAATAATTAAGTATTTTAGGTGTTTGGAACAAAGGGCTATTGTTTTCAGAGGTCTGGGACAGAATCGTGGACCCAGTGGGAAGGCTTTACCTCAGATGGTCTTTGAGTTTGAATCCTAAAAAAGACCCTAAGAGAGTTTTCATGGTTGTCCCTTGACAACTGCTTTTGTATACAAGACAACTTTCCCCTCTAAAACTTTCTGCAAGGTTTCAGTAAGGTCAGTCAGCATAGAAAACAGGAAATGAGAGAACAGGCTGAGTGGGATGCTTGTCTAATCTCGTGGTCTGACACAATCATACCGATGTGAAACTGCAACAGTAAGCAAAATGAATAATGTGTTCAGTTGCACCGTGGTTGAGCCTCTCTCTGTCCTTTATTTCAACAAGTTTTTTTGCGCATTCTTCACATCAGTGGTTGCATAAAATAATGTGAAACTGTTTATTTAGTGTTTGTGGCATTGAATTAGGAAAGTAATTGGTTTAAAGGCTTCAGAGTATGAGGGAGATGACTTATCATGCAGACGGGTGGCTGTTCATCCATCAAAGGCCAGTGGCTCAGGCCAGGAAAGTAATCGCATTATTGGAACCATGCTTTGAAATGATTCTTAAAGCCCCATTTGCTCCAGTGTTTTTGCGTTTAGATTCCTGGAATGATGTTTCCATCTCAAAGCTATAATATGATGATAAGAACAATCAGAAAGAATCTCTGCGATTGCGGGGAATTGTCTTTTTTTGTTTCCAGCAGTTATGCTTGAAATGGATACAGCATTGTGCTCTTGAGAAAAAGCAGTTGCTGGGGTGTTTTTCTTTTCTTTTTTTTCTTCAATGTTTAAATGTGCTGTTATTTTTTAAACTCAGAAATATGTCAGATTACATAGTAAAATGCCTTGTAAACACTTTATAAGTCAATTTAATCAAACTATTGTATTGGACAGTAGTGTTGTCAAATTTCAGTATCGATACGTATCGAAATATTGCTATATCTGAAATGATTCCAATACTATTTTTCTGCAGTATTGATAAACTGATACCAGCTGCAAGTTCTCTTTCTTCCCTCTGATGGTGAATTGACAGTTTGAAAATGAATGTGTGTAGTATAAATGTAATCTGGATGGACGTTCTATATTCACCATGTTGTCTTTGTCATGTGACCTACCATGTTATGTCTCACATATTTCGGATGGAGCCTTTCTCTAGAAGAAGCGAGTGAATGAAGGAAAGTTTCTTTCAATCCCTCTAAAATTTGATAATGATAAGTCTCAGGCAGTAGCACTGATTGCCAATTACGTACTTGAGGAAGTGAATTGCATCATTGAATGGATTTGGCTTCTTTTGTAACATCTTAGATGTTAGAAGAAAGACAACCACCCTCCCCATAAGAGTCCCAGCTGACTTGAGACCCGTTCACACCAATAACAATAAAGATAAAAGCATTGACCAAAATTAAAAACGCAACACCTTTTGTTTTTGCCCCCATTTTTCATGAGCTGAACTCAAAGATCTGAGACTTTTTCTATGTACACAAAAGGCCTATTTCTCTCAAATATTGTTCACAAATCAGTCTAAATCTGTGTTAGTGAGCACTTCTCGTTTGCCGAGATAATCCATCCGCCTCACAGGTGTGTCCGGGGGGATTCTAATTGGCTGTCATTTGTTTTTTTTAATCGTTCATTAGCTGGAACTTTTTTTTTTCCTTGGTGTGTTGGTATATATGTAATCAGTTATTTTCCTGCACTTATAAAATGATTGACTTGATGAGCCTGATTTCCGCTGTCCTCGCACATCTGACAGTCGTCTCTTCTGGCCCTCGCAATGAAAAACAACTTCATAAAAACTCTTAAGAAAGGAATGAAATCATGGTTATTCTCCTAATTATGCAGAGAGGTTGGCGCAAGGACCGTCTGGTCATCATAAACTTTTTTTTTTTTTCTCTTCCGATTATAATAGTTTTTACTCCTCTCCAGCTCTTTTATTGCGTTTAGCGTTGAGGAATATTACTGCAATAAAGAATCCTCTTGAGGCCCTTGCTCAAAAGGCCTACTTCAGATCATAAAAATATTATATTCCATAGCTTGAGTTTGAGGACTTAATATTCTTTCTGTATTAGAAAGGTGTGGCTGCTGACATGCATATATTTTTATATATAATGCTTTTAGTCTTTTCCAATAATGACTAGAAAAGCATGAAAAGGCCAAAAAGCACCATAATATTGGTACAACTTCTGAAGGCATATTATGGCTTTAGAGGCTAATATTTTGTGTTCTTCACTGAAAAGTTAACTATTTTTTGGCTTCAGAATGATAGACTTTTTGGGGGAATGTTTCCTGTAAAACTTAAAATATCACAAAAATGAGACCAAGAGGGGATTGCAAAGTCTGTGTATAAACGAAGACTGTTTACTCGCATTACTGTGAATGAGAGAAACTACAATGCAATATGGTGAAATAATTCCCACCTTCTAAATAAAAAAGGCCAATGGCCAATTGGTGAAGTAGTCCTGTCACTGCAGCGTTTGTTAGAAGCTCTGGTTCCCATAGAAACAGTCAGTTTCCTGCAATTTGCGCATGGTACTACGCGCATTGGCTCAACCTCAAATATACTTAAACAGAGTTAAAAAAGCATTTAAGAAACTACACATAATTTTTATGGCTGATTTAAAATATTATTTAAATGCAAGTTCATCAATGCGTTTTTTTTAAATTACAATATTTCCACATGCAAGAACGAAATGGTTATCTGTAGGCAGCATCATTCTCTTTTGGTGTGTTTACTCTTTTGGATTCATTGTCTGAGGTGTCTTGGAGTTATCATTTATCCGGCTGAATTGCTTGACATCTTTGAAATAGATCGGGAACTAAATTAATGATTTTTTTTATTTAAACGGATAGTTCACTCAAAAATCTAACATTTTGTCGTATTTTGCTCACCCTCAAGCATAATTTGCTCGTGTTGTTCTAAACTTGTAGAATTTTCTTTCTCAACACGAATTATTTTGGGGTGTGCCCTTTCTTTTAAGTACACTAAATGCTGTGATGATAATTTTGTGCTTGGTTTTCTTTTTAACAGAATTGTGCTGTAAAGATTAGGTCTACTAATCTAGCTTTGTAGCTTCTAATTCTGGAGATCTTCTCCTTGTGACTTTTGTTGCTTTCACATCCATTTGAGTCACTGACAACAACAACAAAAAATGTTTTTTAATACAGCAATGTAAGTGAATAAAGTGTGCTGGTTTTACACCATGCCCTGTAGAGTTTGCATTGGAAATGTCAGGCAGCATGAAATTAAATGGCAACAGTAATTAATTCTGGGCGGCTTCATGCTGCATGCTGAGAGAGGTGAGGCTGTAAGCATGTTAAATGGGTTTTTAAATCACTCTCTGGATGGCCAATTATTTTTTCATAGAAATAAATTTCTTGTCAGAGCTGCTAATTGAAATAGCAACTGACATCAGGGTCGTGATAGGTGCAGAAATTTTAATTGCTCTCTT